TTAAAATTTTATAGAAACTCTTTAAATATTATATCTTTGTCTACTGTGATAGAGTTTTATTGAAAATAAAATTTGTGATTTGTGATAGAGTTGTATAAAAATTATTTTATTTTATTTAAATATATCCTTGTTTAATTAGATTTAATTTTATTAAGAAACTTATAATAAAAGTTAATTTGTAGTAGCGTTTTAGAAAAATTATTTTATTTTATATATCAATTAATAAATATTTTTTATATTAATATTTCCAGTCTAATTAGATTTTCTTTTATTAAAAAATTCATAACAATAAATAGATAAATAGATTACCTTAAATTTTATTAGATAGATTTTAGAGTTTGATTGACATTTTTTTTTCTATATATAAACTCTTTGCATATTAATTAATAAATATTTTTTTATAAAAATAGATAGTTAAATACTGAAACTCTTTGCACATGTAATAATACTTTAGATAAAAACTTTTTTTATATCAATTAATAAATATTTTATTATATAAATAAATAAACACTTAAGCACCTTGGCACAACTTCTGTATTTTACTCAGAAAATTAGGTTTTCTTTTATTAAAAAATTCATAATAATAAATAGATTAATTTGAATTTTATTAGGTAAATTTTAGAGTTTTATAGAAGTTTTTTTCTATAAACACTCTTTTTATATCAATTAATAAATATTTTTTTATATAAATAAATAAATACTGAAATACTGAAACTCTTTCCACATTTAATAAATATTTTTTAAATAAATAAATAAATATTGAAACTTTAGATTTACTTTTATTAAAAAATTCATAATAATAAATAGATAAATAGGTTAATTTGAATTTTATTAGGTAGATTTTAGAGTTTTATTAAGTTTTTTTTTCTTATATTTTTTTTTTTTATAAAAACTCTTTTCATATAAATTAATAAATATTTTTTATACAAATAAATAAATACTGAAATACTGAAACTCTTTGCATATTTAATATTTTATTTTCTTTAAATATATCCTTGTCTAATTAAATTTAATTTTATTAAGAAACTCATAATAAAAGTTAATTTGTGGTAGAGTTTTAGAAAAATTATTTTATTTTATATATCAATTAATAAGTATTTTTTATATTAATAATTATTGTCTAATTCAATTTTCTTTTATTGAAAAATTCATAATAATAAATAGATAAATAGGTTAATTTAAATTTTATTAAATAGATTTTTGAGTTTGACAGAGTTTTTTTTTTTTTTTTTTTAAATACTTTTCATATCAATTAATAAATATATTTTTTTATAAATAGATACTTAAATACTGAAACTCTTTGCACATTTAATAGTTGTATAGATAAAATCTTTTTTTATATTAATTAATATATATATTTTTATATAATTAAATAAATACTGAAACACTTTGGTAGAACTTCTGCACTTTATTATAAAAATTAGATTTTCTTTTATTAAAAAATTGTAATTTGTAATACGTGTTAGAGTATTATAAAAAATATTTTTAAACTCTTTTTACATGAATTAATAAATATTTTTATATTTTAATAATTCCTATCTAATTAGATTAGTTTTTATTAAAAAAAAAAAACTCATAATAAAAGGTAATTTGTGGTAGAATTTTAGAAAAATTATTTTATTTTTTATATCAATTAAAAATATTTTTTATATTAGTAATTCTTGTTTACTTAGATTTTTTTTATTAAAAAACTTATAATAAATAAATAGGTAATTTGTGTTAGAGTTTAATATAAACTTTTTTTATATCAATTAATAAATATTTTTTATTTTAATAATTATTGTCCAATTACATTTAGTTTCATTAAAAAACTAATAATAAATAGATAAATAGGTAATTTGTGTTAGAGTTTTTTAAAAGCTCTTTTAAAACCTCTTTTTGTAACAGTTAATAAATAATTTTTTATATTAATAATACTTATTTAATTAGGTTTCTTTTTATTAAAAAATTCATAATAAATGGATAAACATGTAATTTGTGTTAGAGTTTTATAGAAACTCTGTTAATAGAGTTTTATGGAAAATAAAAAAGGTAATTTGTAATAGAGTTTTATAGAAATTATTTTATTTTCTTTAAATATATACTTGTCTAATTAGATTTAATTTTATTAAGAAACTCATAGTAGAGTTATATAAAAATTATTTTCTTTTATATATCAATTAATAAATATTTTTTATATTAATAATTCTTGTCTAATTAGATTTATTTTATTAAAAAATTGATTATAATAAATAGATAGATAGGTTAATTTAAATTTTATTATTTAGATTTTACTGTTTTATCATATTATTTAATAAATATTTTTTTATATAAATAAATAAATACTGAAACTCTTTACACATCTGTATAGATAAAAACTCTTTTTATATCAATTAATAAATATTTTTTTATATAAATAAATAAATATTGAAATAGTTAAACTTTTTGACAGAGTTTCTGTATTTTATTCTGGAATTCAACTCTTTTTATATCAATTAATAAATATTTTTTATATAAATAAATAAATACTGAAACTCTTTGGCAGAACTTCTGTATTTTATTCTGAAATTCTAGATTTCTAAAATTCTCAATTTCTATACCTCTTTCTCTTTCCTCCATGTCTCTATTTATAAGCTTCTTGGATGAATAGGATAATGACATGTGTCCTTTTCTGATAATGACATAATCATAACTGGGCCGGGCTGATTATATTGTGATAATTATCCATAAAAAATAACTAAAAATAAGAGTTTTATATAGAATATGATTGATTTTATTAGGTAATTTTTAGATTTTTATAAAAACTATAATTATCCATAAAAAAAAACTAAAAATAAGAGTTTTATATATAATGTGATTGGTTTTATTAGATAAATTAGATTTTCTTTTATTAAAAAACTTGTAATAAATAAATAAATAGGTAATTTGTGTTAGAGTTTAATATAAACTCTTTTAAAAACTCTTTTTATATCAATTAATAATTTTTTATTTTAATAATTCTTGTCTAATTAGATTTACTTTTAGTAAAAAAAACTCAAGATAAATAGATAAATAGATAATTTGTGTTTTAAAAACTCTTTAAAAACCTCATTTTGTATCAGTTAATAAATAATTTTTTATATTAATAATACTTGTCTAATTAGGTTTCCTTTTATTAAAAAACTCATGATAAATTGATAAATTGGTAATTTGTGTTAGAGTTTTATACAAACTCTTTAAATATATCTTTGTTGATAGAGTTTTATTGATAATAAAATAGGTAATTTGTAATAGAGTTTTATTAAAATTATTTTATTTTCTTTAAATATATATACTTGTCTAATTAGTTTTAATTTTATTAAGATACTCATAATAAAAGCTAATTTGTGGTAGAGTTTTATAAAAATTATTTTATTTCATATATCAATTAATACATATTTTTTATATTAATAAATCTTATCTAATTAGATTTTCTTTTATTAAAAATGGATAATAATAAATAGATAAATAGGTTAATTTAAATTTTATTATGTAGATTTTACTATTTTATAGATTTTTATTTTTGTTTTAGTAAAAACTTTTTTCATATCATTTAATAAATAATTTTTTATATAAATAAATAATGAAACTCTTTACACATCTAATAATAATATAGATAAAAACTCTTTTTATATCAATTGATAAATATTTTTTTATATAAATAAATAAATACTGAAAACTCTTGACAGAGCTTTTGTATTTTACTCTGAAATTCAACTCAATTAATAAATATTTTAATAATAGTATAGATATATTAGTTATCTACCATTATATATATATATATATATATATATATATATATATTACATTACAATATAATGTATATTATATATATTAGTTATCTACCATTAAATTTATATATATTAATTATGTATCATTAGATTCATTTGGTTGTATAGTTCTATGATGCACCATCTTATATATTAATAACTTTCCTTCTATCTAAATTTATAACTAGACACGTCATTTGATAGGATTTTTATTTGAAATCGCACCAAATAATTAGCATATAAATTGGAATACTCAATTTGGACCAACAGACCAGTGGCCTAGCGGTATCAAGCCCCTACTTTTCAAAGAGAGGTTAAGGGTTTGAGCCTCAGTAGAGACATGTGTGTGTGAGTACCCAACTAGGAAAAAAAAAATACTCAATTTGGCAAACCCGTTAACTAGAATACTAAATTTGGAAGTATCAATTTATTTTTATTTTATTTTATTTTATTTTTTGTCAAGGAAAGAAACATACCCACACACCTACTTTTTGATCCAATAAAAACTTAAATCATCAACCTTCTACTCTGGAAGGCAATAAAATAGTTGTTGATTACTTCAATGAAATACCACTATTTTAAATTTAAGTTCCATGAAATTCAACCCCTGTCATAACACACATGTTTCACGGATTTTTCGACTTAGTCGAGTCATCTCAAATTTTAATAACCTAAAAAATTAAATATTAAAGTATATAATTAAAAATCCTTATATTCTTTATTATTTTGTTTTCTTAGGTAATTATAATTTAAAATAATCGTGTCAAAGTTAAGGAATTACCATGAATCCTGATTGATAATATTATACATAATCTAATTTTAACTTTATTTTGCATAAATATGTATAACCTTAAAAATATTAAAGTTATACACTATTCATATTTTTTAGGTTTTTTAGATTAGTATAACATTCACCCAAATCCTGTTCAAAAACAAATTTGAATTTTAAAATTTAATCTCAATCACATCCCATGAGCTCAAGTACCTTGTCCATTTTTGTAAAAAATTTCCACCCAAATCCGAGCTAGTAGTCCCTTCAAGATGGGACTAACACCTAAGCTGAGCAAACTCTCACACCACCTATAGTTCCAGCAAGGCTCGAACCCGACCTCACCAGTTGGGCTATTGCCCATTCGGTTACAGGGGCATTGTTTGATGGGAACGATGTCGTGTATGGCAGTATAATAAACGGCTTAAGAAATACGGAGTAGAAGAGTAATTTAGGCAGGGTTCATGAGGAAAAAGGGGGCAAAGGAAATCCAAATTTGCGACAAGATTCCGATTCCCTCTGAAGAACAAGACCAGAACAACAGGTGAGTCCCTTCCATCACTCTGTCCACGTTTAATTTCATTTTCAAATCTTTGCCTTATTTGAGGTGTGTTGTTGTATCAACTTCACCAACAACAACAACAACCCACAAACTGCATTTTCTTCAACTCTACCCATTCTCTTCATCATCATCATCAGCTCTCAAATCTATATCTACCACTTCAAATCAACACTCATTCACAGTCGATTACTTTATTAAATCATGTGGGTTTCCTCCAGAAAAGGCTCTCTCGGCCTCCAAGCACATCAACATCAATACACAGATCTCTGTTCTCGCATTCTTCAGAAACCATGGGTTCACCGAAACCCAGATCTCACTTCTCATCAGGAAATACCCTCGGGTACTCTTGTTCGATCCCGAGAGCAACCTTTTCCCCAAAATCGAATTTTTTCACTCTAAAGGTTTTTCAACCCAAGACATTGCTAAATTACTATCGACAACACCAGAAGTTTTGAGAAGAAGTTTGGAAAACAAAATCATCCCATCCTACAATTTCTTGACGGAATTACTCAAGTCCCAAGAAAAAACGAATGCCGCTATTAAACACTTAGCTAGGATTTTGTTGTATGATGATCTTCAAATATCCGTAGCACCCAATATTGAAGCTCTGAGAGAAATAGGTGTGCCCAAATCGAATATTGTGACTTTCTTTACAAGTCGACCTCAAGCTTTCACGCCTAATGCTGACAGGTTTAAGGAGATTGTGGAGGAAGTAAAGAAAATGGGTTTTAACCCTACAAAAGTGATGTTTGGTGTAGCAATTCATGCACTGAGGGCAATGACTAAATCAACTTGGGAAAAGAAGGTGGAGGTTTATAAGAGTGGGGTTTGTCTGAGGATCAGATTTTGGTGGCTTTTGGGAAGCAACCATGGTTTATGATTGTATCGGTGGAGAAGATTATGGGGGTAATGGATTTTTTTGTCAATAAAATGGGTTGGGAGTCTTCTATTGTTGCGAGGAATCCAGGACATATTCTCCTGAGCTTGGAGAGGAGGATCATTCCACGGTGTTTGGTTTATCAGATTCTGTTGTCGGAAGGTTTGCTTGAGAAGAAATTTAGCTTGAATTTGTTGTTGGTGTCTTCTGAAAGTCAATTCCTAAACAAGTTTGTGAAAAAGTATGAGGAAGAAGCTCCTGACCTATTGAAGTTGTATCAGGAGAAGTTGAATCTTTCAAAGTAACTAGGATATGAGAAAATGAGGAACAGAGTTGGTTTCTCCTATGTTTACTGTTGGGTAGTGAATATAATTTTGTGTGAAATACAACATGGCAATCAATTCACATTCATTGATCCGCAATTGAAACATGAAGCTCAACAACATGGTGCATTGAATTCTATGATACTTTCGTAGTGGATTGGGCTTGGTGTGATATACCATTGTCCGTTTATCTGGGAGATCACTCTGGCGATTTTGGTTTTGTTCGGAACTAGTTCAATTTCATGGTAAATTAATGGTTTTCGTTTTCGTTTTCATTTTCATTTGTAATGGTGCAAAGTGCTAACATCTAACTCAGTGTTGTATGTTTTTTTTAAACCAGCAACTGTTATTTTCCTCTTTTATTTAGAGCATATATTAATGAGATTATATAGCATTGTTCAAGTGTGGACATTGTTGGTTCAATTCATGATTCACTCCATCAACCCCCTAACCTCTGCAGCCCCACCTCTGTGACATTATTAGTTGTCATTTTCCTCTGCGGCTGCTGCAACAGCACACACTCCAACCCACTCAACTGGTCGTTATCCCCCGGTAGAGAGGTTGGCTAAGGTTCAAATAATCATATTTATGAGGGTGAGCATTTGGCAAAGCACATATGTTCCACACTCCGGTCTCAGATTCAGAGTTGCCCATGATTGTTGCAATTGGTCCGCTTTGAAACCTCAAGGAGTTCCACCTATTACAGCAAGGTCCCATTTATTCAAAATCTCCGATACCTATACATTATGAATGTAAGTTTCCTGCTCCTGCATTCACCATTAATATGATCTCTTAAGCGGCAACAAACACTTGCCAAAACATTAATTAAATTAAACTGAAGTACAAGAAAGAGAGTGGGGCATACCCCACTATATAAAGTTTGAGTTTGAGCTTCATAAAAATTTAAAATATTTCAAGAACTTTTCCCAATATCCATTTGAGTTTTGATAGAGGTGGTCCAAAAGATGTCTGAGTTTCTTCTAGTAGATTTAAGGCAAGATTTGAAATTTTTTTCAAGATAAGAGGGTGATGATGGATGTTGTAAAGAATTAAACATCTTGTAAAATAATGCAGAGAGTGGCAAATTTTCCTGTTTGTAAATGGTCGAACCTTGGATATTTCCAGCGCAGATTGAGCCACATAGTTCCTGTAAGGATCCTGAAGAACTGAAAAAATTGTTTGCTCTCTATAACTCGTTTACAATTCGAGCTGCGTTCTCTTTGCCCGTCTCTCTCAAACACTTGTCTACCACATTGCTGCTAAACTTATTCATGGAGAGAGTGGCAAAATTCCCTTGAAGCTGTGCCAAAACAAGTGGTTCATGCATTCCCAGAAAGAACTGTACAACATAGTTACTGAAAGGGGAAGAACAATTAATCAAAGAGAGGGATAGTTGTTGAGTTGTTCATGATTAGGAAAACATAACCTTTTCTCCTATGGCTATTTAGTAGAAACACACACACACATATAGCTTTCTCCTACGGCTATTTAATAGAAACATACCTCTTGTATGTATGTCTATTTAACAAAAGAATCACCCTGGGGAGGGACACTTATCCCTCAAATCATAGAAGAAGAAAAAAAAAACACACACACACAGTAGAAGAAGAATTGCAAATGAGAGGCAGGCCAACCCTTCTACTTTGATTACATTAGGATAAAGGAGGATCCATAACTGATGCAAGAACAATCATACATCGTCCAAAATAAGGTAGAAATAGCTTTTTTTTATTTTTTAAGTTCAATCATCTAGAACCTCCAAAATATGCTGCCAAAAAAAAAAATAATAATAAAATAAAATAAAATAAGAGAGAGAGATATAGACATGATATTAAGCAATGTGTTGCTATTTTATTAAAGCTAAAAAACTTTCCAACAGAGAAAACTAGTTTCTATATAAATTCTTTCTCAACAACTAAGTACAATCCAGCATGGCTCTCAGACACCTAAGGTTTTTAAATATTATGTGTGAATAGTGATTGCACATATCTCATGTTTATCTTAGTGTCGCTAAGTAAAAAGGATTTTACATTTTTATAAAAATATAACAATAATAATAATAATAATAAATAAATAAACTACTTACATTCTTCAAAATATCGTACTACTTTCGTAGTTTTGTATTACCATCAAACCCATTACAGTCATCATTCAAATGCCAAATAATGTGAAAATCTAGAAAATATGCTATTTGTAAATTATTTAAAAAAAAAAAATTAAAAAAACACCTAGAAAATATAGAATTAAGAGAGCAGATGAAAATTTTCTATGGCTAGATGAAACATATTCATTAGGTATTCAAAATGTCAAGTCCCGCGTCTATTGGTTTTGGTAATACTTTGTATAGACAAAACACCAAAGCTCAGAGCTCTAGGTCATTGCCATTTAATATTACTGTAGTTAAAATTTATATAACAAGATACAAAAGTGAAATGGGATTGGGAAATTATTTATAACAAAACATCAGTTAATCTTTTTAAACATCAGTTACTCAATCTTTTTTCCTTTATGTTTTCTTAGACCATCTTCAGTATTATGTTAAAAATATTATTTTGTGTAAAATATACATGGCCATGTATGATTTGTAAACTTTTTTTTATCTTCAGTTGTTGTGTATTTTTTACACAGCCACATCAGCATATTTCCTTTCTCTTACCTATTTCTCATTCCATTAACGAATCAATCCTATATTAAGTAAGTTTGTAAAAATTATGTGGGGTCTAGGCATGACACTAGTTGGTTGTTAGAGCATCTCCAGCAGTATGTTAAAATACTATTTTGTATAAAATATACACTGCCACGTATGATGTGTAATTTTTTATTTTTTATCTCCAGCAATCTGGTAAAATACACTGGCAGCTCACCAATATGTAAAATTGTTGTGTATTTAACACAACCTTTTTACACAGCCACATCAACATATTTCATTTCTCCTCCTGATTTCTTATTCCATTAACTAATCAACCTTATATTAAGTAGGTTTGTAAAAATTATGTGGGATCAGGCATAACACTGGTTGATTGTTATTGGGGGATATATTTTTACACAAAAGGTATAAAACAGCCTCTGGAGCTAAAAATAAATAATCCAAAATTTTTGTGTAAATCTATTATGAGAGCATCTCCAACAGTCTATTAAAATACTCTTTTATGTAAAATATACACTGCCACGTATGACGTATAATTTTTTTTTTTTTTTTTTATCTCCAACAGTCTGTTAAGATACAATGTCATGTCATCAATGTGTAAAATTGTTATATATTTTACACAACCTTTTTACATAACCACATCAGTATATTTCCTTTTTCCTCCCTCTTTCTCATTCCATTAACAAATCAACTATATATTAAGTAGTTTGTAAAAATTATGTTGGGTCCAAGCATAACACTGGTTGGTTGTTATTAAGGGATATATTTTTACACAAAACGTATAAAACAATTGCTGGAGTTAAAAATAAATAATCCAAAATTTTTGTGTAAATCTATTATGACACATCAGATTTACACAAATATATATATATATATACACACACACACACACACACACACACACAACGGTTGGAGATGCTCTGACACATCAGATTTACACAAAAAAATATACACAATGGTTGGAGATGTCCTTATTGGGGGATATACTTTTACACAAAAGTTATAAAACAACCGTTAGAGCTAAAAATAAATAATCCAAAATTTTTGTGTAAATCTATTATGACAAATCAGATTTACGAAGAAGAAGAAGAAGAATTGGAACCTTACAAAGGTATGGAATTTGATTCACATGCAGAAGCATTTTCATTTTACCTAGAGTATGCAAAGTCTACCCGAGTTTGGTGCCTCAATAAAAGCTAATCGGAGGTCAAAGGCAAAAAGAAGCTATGAAAAAATATGCAATGGTTAATAATTCTCTTATGGGCTTTGAAGATCCTTATAATTCTCATGATCTTGATAAAGAGAATGTTGATAATAATGTGATGTTTGACATATCAGTATTCAACCCATAAGTGTGAACTACAAAAGAAGCTCCTAAAAGGATTAAAAATGGGATCGAGAATATTAGTAAAACAAGATGCAAAAAAAAAACCAAAAGAGGTTAGGGTTTTAGTTATCTTGCGTATGTATTTCATTAATGATGTATTTCTTAGTTACTCATTATTAATACTTGCATTATATTAGGTTCAAAAGCCTATGGAAGTGCCTAATGATAAGAGGAGAAAGCCTTTGGAAATTCAAGTTTGTCATGTCTTAAATCTTATAATTTCCTTTTGAAATACACAAGATGCATCTTAAACTTATAATTGATATGTGTAATAGGAAGAAAATCATCCTCGTGTGTTTGTTTCTAACGAACGAGATTGGAGCTTTAAATTAACACTACCTCCTACACAAGATTTTTGAGGAACAATATTAATTTATTAATTGTACTTTTCTTCTTACTTGCATATAATAAAAATAGTGTCTTATATTAATAAGAGGGATGAAAAATGGTGTTTGATTTTTAATAATTTGAAAATTTTTAGGTTTGATCAAATAAACTTTATTTTTGTTGAGGAAGAGCTATGCTTCATCCATAAAGAAGCAGGTTTATTTTGCTATAGGTAGTAATCTTTTAGGATGTAATTGACTGTTATTTACATTTGATTTGATTATATGTATTAGCTTCGCAAGTTCAGTTATGTTGTAAT